ATATAAAGAACTCATACAATTTAATACCCCCCCCCAAAAAAAAACCCCCAAAAAAGTCTGATTAAAAAATGGGCAGTGGACCTGAACAGACATTTCTCTAAACAGGACATGCACATGGCCAAAAATGCTCAACGTCACTAATCATCAGAGAAGTGCAAATTAAAACCACAATGAGATGAACTGTCAGAATGGCTATCGTCAATAAATCAACAAACAACTATTGTTGGTAAGGATGTGAAGGAAAGAGAACCCTCGTACACTTTTGGGATTGCAAATTGGTGCAGCCACTGTGGAAAACAGCATGGAGATTCCTCAAAAAATTAAAAATAGAACTATCATATGACCCAGCAATCCTACCTCTGAGTATACAAAGAAATCCAAAGCACAAATTCAAAACGATATATGCACCCTTATGTTCATTGCAGCATTATTTACAATAGACAAAATATGGAAGCAACCTAAGTGCCCATCAGTAGACAATTGGATAAAAAAGATGTGGTACATGCATACAATGGAATATTACTCAACCATAAAAAAGAATGAAATCTTACATTTGTGACAACGTGAATGGACTTAGAGGATAGTATGCTAAGTGAAATAAGTCAGACAGAGAAAGATGAGTACCATATGATCTCACTTATATGTGGAATCTAAAATACAGATGAATAAACAAAACAGAAATAAACTCAGATACAAAGAACAAACTAATGGTTGCCAGATGGGAGAGGGGTTGGAGGGCTGGGTGAAAAAGGTGAAGGGATTAAGAACTACAAATTGGTAGTTACAAAATAGTCACAGGAATGTAAAGTACAGCATAAGGAATATAGTCAATACTGTAATAACTATGTATGCTGCCAGGTGGATACTAGACTTACCAGGGGAGCAGATCACTTCATAAGTTACCGTATTTCCCCATGTATAAGACGCAGCCTTTTTTTGAAAAATTTGGGTCTAAAAACGGTGTGTCTTATACATGGTTGTAGATTTCAAATGCCATAGAACTGAGGACGAGGCAATATATGAAGACAGTGATTCGTCATCAGATACAGATGAGGACAAGCTAATGGTTGGGAGTTTTGACAGTGATGAGCTGTATGAATTTTATGATGAATAAAACTTGAGTTCAATAACTTTATGTAATACATTTATTTTTCAAATTTTGGGCCCCAAAATTAAGGTGCGTCTTATACATGGGGAAATACGGTATATAAATGTCTGACCACTGTGCTGTACACCTGAAACTAATATAATATTGAATATCAACTGTAATTGAAAAATTTATTTAAATTAAAAATAAAAGTAAGTAAATATGCATCTAGGAAAAAACATTTGGATTCATTATAACTTAGATACTTATGGGAATATCTTATTCTAAAATTATTTGGCTATCCACAGAAACTTTTAAATTGTATGCACCTATCCTTACACACATTCTGACCCCTAAGCATGGGCAGCTTATACTTTGTGGCAACATGCTGATTTTAAAAATGCTATTGGGGAAAAAAGGTACAATTTTGTATAATTCTATTTGCAAATCCATCCTAAATAATTTCTCACTATCCATGTTGCAGTTTGCCCTATTTAGGGTTAACTGAGACTTGACTGTGTTTCAGTCTTTCAACTAAATATTTTGTTTCCCTGGAGAGTAGTTGGAGGAGTTAAAAGTTATGAATATATATATATATATATATATATATATATATATATATACACATAAACACACACACACACACACACACATATATATATGTACATGTATATGTCTATGACGTTAAGGATCAGTTGAAATTGTAAAAGTGTACAATTGCATAGCTTTCGCCTCACAACTTTAGACGTTTCAATTCTAGTGAAATGGAGAATCTCTCTGCTCTGTAAACAAAAATGATGTTAAGCATCTAATGCTCATCTCCTTGGCTACTGAGTTTGAAATTTGACCTTTGGAATAGGTCCTTTCTCACCTGGGTTGTGACTGATTTGTACCATAACTGATATATTTTGGGAGTCTTTTTAAGCTTGTTGGGTAAACATAAAAATTATTGCTGGGTAATACAAATAATACACATTTCTAGTATCTATATTTAGTTCAGTGAACTGTGACAGGTGAAGGAAATTATTTTTATATATAGGCTACTCTACAGGAAATCACTGACAGTTACATAGTTTAGTTAGGTTTTTTTTTGTTTCAATATGTGAAATAAGACCTGTATGTGGCCTATCAGTTATGCCCAACCAAAAAGAAGCAGTACAAAACAGGCAGCCTGAGTCATGTGTTTCAAGCGTGAGGACCCCTTTTTAACATCAGGCAACGTGATATACCCCTGCGTGATAGCGGTGACGCTTTTAGTATGTGTTGATGTGAAAATTTGGTAGACCACTGTGATTCAATAACACCTTCAAGTAACTTTATGCTTTATTGATCTAAACACCACTTGTGGGCATTTAAAGCAACACATTAATTGTATTTTCTGCTTACAATAAGGGGAATATATGTCCTTGACCATATTTTTCTCATTGTTCCTTGGATAGGTAAAAATTTTACTTAAACATTTGTGAACTTGACATCTTTGATCATGGACATACTCAAGTAGCAGCTAAATAGCATGGAGGAATTTGAAGGAAGAATTACAGTTATGCAACAGTACGTTCAGCTGTTGTTTTGTACTAGGGTTTTTTAGTAAATGCCCATTGAACTTGATTTCACTCTTACTGTATAGATGATGTTAAAGAGATTTTTCAAAGGAAAGGTTTAAAATAAACCCGTGGTTATTTCATGCATTTAAAAATCATGTAGCTGTTCCTTTTATGTTGATGTTTTGTTATATATAGTCAGGTTGTTGATGAAAATTTTAACATCAGAAGATAGGCCTCAGTTTATCCAAAGAATAGATGTACGTACCTTCAACATAAGATGGAGTTGAAATTGTGTTTTCTTAATTGCTAGAATTCCCAATGAGGGGGAAAAAGGAATCTGAAAAAGACCTTAAATTAATCAAAGATTCGAAACGTTAATGAAATTCATACTCTACCCACCTTCAGGGTTTGTCACCCCTGACTTAGTGCAAATTGGGAACCAGCCTTTCAAAATGAAGTATTATTTATGGGTTTTACCTCACAGGCCTTCAATACTGTGATCATCATCATACTAGAAAATGTGAAGCAAGCAACAGGACTGTTTGCACATGGCCCTTGGGTGGTCTCTGAGATTCCTCAACAGGGAACCACCTGGTGCTGACTATTCCTCCATTCCCTTCTCCCAGGGGGAGTATCTGCACCCATGTTTAACTTACCTGTAGACTAGGCTTCCTTCTCTCGTCTTCAGGGACCCTGTGGTCTCCACATGCCTGGCAGGTGGTTCCAGCTGTCACCAAAATTTAGAATGCTTAGTGCCAGGCATCCTCACTATATTCCTCCACTGAAAAGTGCTCTCTTTCCTGTACTGAAAGGGAGAAAAACGGCAGCACTTAAAGATTGGCTCCATTAGAAATTGAAAACCAAGAGAGTCAAAAAAGGACAGAGTGAGTTATAATAAGCAAACAAGTTTTGTTTTGTATTACAAAGCAGCTTCTGCCCTAGTGAAAACAGCCCTTCCAGAGGACCCTGTCATTTGTCCTATAATACAAACAGTACCAAAGGCATGCAGGTCACTAGAAGATACCTGTGGTTTGTCACCTAAGAACTTGTCTGTGAATTATGGCCCCCTCTTTTTGACGGATGCAACGTTAACATTTTAGAGCAGGAATATGACCTGATACTTGCTTAGGTGTGTAGTGAGAATTTTGACATTCATCATGAGAGGTTAACAAGAGGAGCAAGGGTCTGATAGGAAATGTGTCAAATCATTGGCTGCAAATCTATTGATTGTGTTGTCGTTCTCATGGCAACTTTCTTACCTGCCCTATGGAGGTTCACGAGTAGCTTTTTAAGCATTCTGCCCTGGGGAAGAGCAATCTTTAATATTCTGTATAGGCTAAAATCTAGAAAAGACGATATCTGGAGTGTTTTCTGTGTTCAAAGTTGGTTTCAGAATATCTACCATGTTTCTCCAAAAATAAGGCCTAACTGGAAAATAAGCCCTAGCATGATTTTTCAGGATGAGCGTAATATAAGCCCTACCCCAAACATAAGCCCCAGTTAAGATTGTCAGCCAGACATGACTATTTGAATAAATGCAGATTTTTGTACGTGAATAAATGTAGATTGTTTGAGCAAAAAGTAATATAAGACCCGGTCTTATTTTCAGGGAAACACGGTACCATTAAACAATAACTAGATGGGCCTTAAAGACTATGTATGAAAGAAGTGACCATTTGGTCCATGGCACTAGAAGAAGAAGGGGACTGAAGAGATTTTTGTACAAATTGTAGAAGCAATATCTGCCCAAAAGTTGTAAAATCCAGATTGAAAAAGCATTAAAGATTAATTGCCTATTTATCTGTAAATTAATAGAAAGAATGAAAAACTAGTTGAGAGTATATGTGTCTTATTAGCAACCAGGAAAACTTTTCAGTTTTATGTTTTAAGTTGGGTTTTTAAGTGAAAGGAAAAAAACCTTGGTAGTGTTTGTAGGTGGGAAAATTTTCAGGTGTAAAAACAACTTGGGAAAAAGCTAATTTGATTAGTAGACATGGAAGCGTAAAATCCTTAAAACAAAACAAACAAAAAAACCCTTACATTTTAAATCATAATGTTGTGAAGTCTAGTATTTGGGTTTCTGCCTCCCAAACTCAGTATTAAGTGACCAAGTTCTCTTGTTCTTCCGTCTTCCCTATCTCAAATCCTTGTGTAAGAGAGTTAGATAAACAATATCATAATCGGTTGCATCACTGAAGGCAGGTAGTCTTGACATCGTCAAGTTCTCTTTCTTTCTGTATTTTAACAATCCACTAATAAACATCCAGTGAATGATTCTTATTAGAGAGATAAGCAGTAATCACTGTGGAAAGCATGGAATTGTCGTGTGCAGCTGTGTTAAATGTTTATGGTTTGCTTTCTTTTTATAGAACACAAAGTGATTATAGTGGGACTGGATAATGCAGGGAAAACCACGATTCTTTATCAATTGTAAGTATGGGTGTTGATTTAAACAGTTTTCGTTATTTTAGTTATTAGAACTAATTTTGTGGAATTGATAAGATACTATTATACTATAATGGAAAAGCTTAAACATATGGCTTTATATTTTACCAAACACAAAACTTAGGAAAAAGTGAATAAGATAAACTGTTCTGTTTGCTAAAGCCTTTACAAACACACCTCTTTTCCTGGCCTTGAAACAAAGAATTAATATTACAGTAAAATAAATAAAGCACATGTCATATGCTGGAGTGACATAGTAAAGTGCATTTCACTTAGTTATTCCCACACTGAGGCCCATGTGACAAGATTGTTATCTCGAGGAAGCTATTGCTTTTCCCCTAATAGCGCTGGAATTGTTTAACATAGCCAGACTTGTCAAATCAAAAGAAATGAAGATAGCCTCTGAAACTACTGCTTTAGTAGCTTGCAACAGGGAGAGGCTTGAGACTTTCAGAGAAATAAATTAATACTTTAAGGAAATTTTACAGCTTGTCCAGAGTACCTCCCGTTATCCTTTTTTTTTTTTTTCAAAAAGATTTTATTGGGGAATTGGGGGCGGGGAACAGACAAGTTGCTGTCCTTTTGTTCTTCAGTCTAGTTGTGGAGGATATCGCTTCACTGGCTCATGTTGGTATTATCATTGCACTTTTCCCGGGTGAGGCAGATCGGTCACCGGCCTCTGGACAGCCACTCATGGCAGCTCACGGCAGCTCACGAAAGCTCACGCCAGCTGCGGGCCAGCCCCACTGCAGCCTATACGCCGTCGCTGACGGCTCATGGCAGCTCATCTCCAGGTCGAGCTGTTGTTCACCATCTTAGCTGTAGAGGGCGCAGCGTCACTTGCCCTCATGTGGGATCCGAACCGTGGCCCTGCTGCTCAGAGCTGGCGTCCCAAGCCAACTCCTAATCAACATGCCACTCGGCCGGCCCTGAAATGCTTCTTGTCAAGCAATGAAAATGGACCTATGTCCCAAGCATTTTAGCAAGTAATTCTAAAAAATGCAGTGTACCATGGAGTGTGTGGCTCTTATCTCTTCCCACCTCATCTGAAGTGTATTAACAGCTCTCCAGAAATGTTTTGCGTGCTTAACGTATTTTTCTCTTAGCTACTTTGCTAAAAAGCTACTAACTTATAGCTTGTTTATTCAGAGTTAAATAGCTATTTGTTTTTCTTGAAAACATTTATTGGCCATTGTGTATTTTAATATGACTTAGCCTTTAAACATCAATTAGGAACATTTCAGAAACCTGTCAACTGTTGAAATACATGTGATATGAGCCTCAATGTTCTAAATATTGGGTCGTCGGGAAAGTCATGATGTATTTTTCTGTTTTTCAATGCAAAAATGCGTCATGACTTGCCCAACAACCCAATATATTTAGAAGTAATTTTAATTAAACTTTTCATTTGCCCAAGGCCTTATCTGTTTAAGACTGTAGTTTAGGTTAATAGGCCTGAACTAATTTTTATGGCTTAGCCAAGTCTCAATTTTCTCACATAGACAGTCTTCAAAATTATAGATAGCCTACTATTCCATGGCTGCTACTTTGCAAGTATTGATGTCAGAGTCATCCAGAAGCTTGCTTTTTCAGGATGCAGCATTGCTTTTGCTGTAACAGATAATTGGGCGTAGTGGTACTGGAATTTTGGCACCAGAAATGCAAACTCACACTACAGAGTTCCCTGATATCCAGATCAAGCTTGTAATTTATTCCATTAAAAGAACAACAACAACAAAAAACAGTCTTCCTTTGGGAGTTATTCTCTGTCTAGATATTTGTTTGCACAAATGTTCTATAATATAGGTTCTATTTTTGATGCTAATGATTACCATCATTATGCAAATAAGGAAGATTGATTCCTGTTAAAAATATAAAGATTAAAACATGCTTCGGGTTCTCAAGATTCGCAGGAGTTTTTATGGTGACTGTCTTCCCAACAGCTTGATGAATGAAGTGGTTCATACATCTCCAACTATAGGAAGTAATGTTGAAGAAATAGTCGTGAAGAAAACTCATTTTCTTATGTGGGATATTGGTGGTCAAGAGTCACTGCGGTCATCCTGGAACACGTATTACTCAAACACAGAGGTATGCCAAAGCGGGTTCTTGCCGATCCATGTCTATTTATAGCATTACAAAAGGGTATTTATTGAATTGGTGAAGCTTTGGAAGACTTAGCGTGGGTCCAGAAAGAGATACATTATTACTGATGCCATTTGCATGAAATGTTCTTTAAATAAACTATTTCTACAAGAATAGCACAATTCCTGCAAAGAACCTTTGGCCTTTATTGCAGCACACCAGTATAGCATGTAGCATTTGCAATCTTAGGTACCAGGTAGGGATCTAATCTATGTGGTGTTCCCCTGATGGCTTTGTTCACCCTTATCATCTTGCATCTTAAATTCTTCACGCTGAGGAGCCATCTGAAAGCTGAAATGTCTCCATTATGATATAAGGAGTTACAGTTGGTAACTAATTCCTGACACTTCTCATTGACTTACAGAATTTCTTCCATATATTCTGACCATTCTAACTTTGCCATGTTTCTTATATTTATCTCTTCTGTTTGCTTTCCTTTTATTCCTTTCTAAGCCTTTCTCATTTTATATTCGGGTTACTCTAGTTGTATCTTTTAATGTCACCTGAAAAATCTGATTCTACCCCTTTCTGTCTGGATTTATTTTGCATCACTTCTTCCACTTAACCCTTAACACCATTTAGTATCTTTTCTTAACTTTTTCTTCTACACAAGCTGTTCAATTTAGGAGCCCTTTCTCACTATATCTTCTCATTTTTCTTATCAGAGATGCTTTTTATTTTTAACGTGTGACACTCACCTTTTTCATATACAGTTACCAACAGCTTTTTCCAGTTCCCTTTGCTCTTTAATTTCACCTGCATCATCTTTAGCATATTGCCACCTAAGTATATGTTTCTGTTTAGCACATTTTTTCTTGCACTTTTATTGCTGATATTGTTATGTAAAAATGACTTACTCATTAAGTTTTTTTTTTGTTAATGTGGTTCTATTTTTCTTTCAAATTAGCTTGCATACTTCTAATAGGCAGGAGACTTTGTTAAACGTAATTATTGATTGCCTAAATGAATGAGTATAGAGTACTTTTTTTTTCTTTTTTAAAATTTTATTGTTAGTTTCAGGTGTACAGAACAATGCAATAATTGTCCTTTTCACCCTCACAAAGTAACAGCCCCCCTCCCCCAAGCATAGAGTACTTTTAAGGTTTAGCAAAAGAGTGTACTTACTATGACTTTCTTTTTAAAAATTATTTTTTATTACTTGCATTTTAAAAATACATATTAGTATTATAGAGTATTATGTATTCAAACATCACTTTTTAAAAATAAAATTGGACGTGATTTTTATTTGTTGAAGTTACGAGTTATTTTCTTACTAACATTTGGATTTCACTGCTTGATATGATTCCATATAACCTCAACTCTTTATGATGAAAAAGTAGTAGACTGTTTTATAGTGATGATGGTGCCATGTGAAGAAAGTACTTCTATCACATAAGAGTAGGTGTGCAGAAAACTTCAACCTCCCATTCAGCTTTCTTTCTTTCTCTTTGATTGTCTTCTAGTTCATCATTCTTGTTGTTGATAGCATTGACAGGGAACGACTAGCTATTACGAAAGAAGAATTATACAGAATGTTGGCTCATGAGGTAAATTTTGATAAACTCTGGAGTAAGGTATCTATATAATGGATTTGCTTTTTTACAAAGATTAATGTGCTCTGCTGTTGGTTATTGCATCATGAACAAAGTTTTGCATATTAAATTGATGAAAGTCTTGAAGTAAAAAATTTTCATTACTTTTTCAAACTTAAAAAATACATGTTAATTTGTAGACTACTATTATTAAAAAGATTGTTTTAAGTTAAAGCTACTCATTTATGCTTAAAGAGTCTGATAGATTGAGGCAGGAAAGGGGAAAACTTAAGTGCTTTTTCCCCAAGAGTTTATAATAACCGAAAATTCTTTAGTGAATAATTTGAGATCACTTAATTCTACACATTTCAGATATACCCAAAACTTGGATAATAAAACACATGTATGCACCCATTATTCATAATAAATATCTTATGAGATCTCTCCAATCTGATTTCCTTCCTTTTCTCTCTCAAGGAATCCATGAATTCCACTATCCTAAAAGTAGTGATTGTCAGTCCTCTGAATGTTTTCATACTTTCACTGCATTTTTATGTACCTGTCGATTGTATAGAATATTATATCCCATGTTCATAAAACTTTACATAATAGTTACATATTGGGTTGTCGGAAAAGTCATGACACATTTTTGCAACGAAAAACAGAAAAAATACATCATGACTTTTCCGACAACCCAATATATCTTTCTGTAACTTGGTTTTGGGGGGTTTTTTTGCACTACGTTGTGATTTATTTATGTTAGTACATACAGCTTTAGTTCATTGGTTTTAATAACCATATAGTAGTCCACTGTATGAATATATCACAGTTGATTTCTGTTCTTCTGTTAATGAACATTTAGGTTATTTCCATATAAACAGTTTATTTTGATAATTGAACAATGCTGCAGTGAACATTAATTAATGAGCTTAGGTTATACAAAGACTAATAAATAATAAATATTGTCCAGCCTCCACTCTCAGTACTCTCCTTTAAATTTTGGAGGAACCCTGTAGTATTTGGTAACATATTACCATGTTTGCCCATTAGAATATTGCTCATATTGTTTTACTGCAATATTTAAGGTTCGGGTTTATTTTACTGACCCCTTTGCCCCAACAATAGCAAAATAACATTTCATTATCGAGCTTATGTTAATTAATCTATCTTTGTTAGAGTGAATTATTAAATTATGGTTATTCAAGATCATTTATTTTTGTTGTCATAAAATGTTTAAGTAAATATTAGTGCCTAATCATTTTAAAGTAGGGGGAGTTTCATTATAACTGTCCAGGAGGGCACATTTCACCCTTCTGCTTCATTAATGTAATTGGAATTATGGTATTTCACATATTAGAAATATTTCATATTGATTGCAGGATTTACGGAAGGCTGCAGTCCTTATCTTTGCAAATAAACAGGATATGAAAGGGTGTATGACAGCCGCTGAAATCTCCAAATACCTCACCCTTAGTTCAATTAAGGACCACCCATGGCACATTCAGTCCTGCTGTGCTCTCACAGGAGAAGGGTGAGTGCAAATCAGCGGGAGGGGCGGTGTGGTTTCTTTCAAATTCCTTCTCTTCTTTGCTCCTGCTCCTCTTTGGTTTTTAATTAAAGATGGTTTTTGTATTGCGTCTCAGGGTTACAAGATAGAAAAAGTTTTAAACAATTATTATTGTTAAATTACAGTTTAGCAAGGTTATTGACAATTTCTTTTGAAACTTAGGTAATATAAACAATGTTTTACCAAAAAGAGGTAATAAACTTTTGAATTAAGTTTTCACAATCCACATTTTTAGTTGTTCTTTTCCAAGAAATTTTACATTTTACTTAATTAAGCCTAAGCTCCCAGCTTTCCACAAGAATACATCTCCTTTATTACCAGGAGTCCTTTTGGGATGCTTACTTCTAGACAGTAAACATTTGAGACAAGTGCCATTTTGATATATTCTTCCTTTCTAAGCACTGGGATTTGGATAACTAGGCCAAGGAGAAACCCATGTATTATGTATGGATTACCAGTTTATTTCCAGCAACTTCCTTAAGCTCAAATCAACTTGACTTAGTTTTTCTCATGCTAGAAATAGCTTGTAATATAATGGCCAAATAAGGACTTTTTTTACCTATACTTTTAAGATTGGACCATAAGCATTCCATTCTTTAGAAGTTAGGAGGTAAGGTGAAGTTCCTGTTGTCTTTCTGTAGTGGTTTCGGTTTTAGTTCATCTTAAAGTGGGGTGAGGAGGTAAGGAGTATTTGCAGTCTTGCTGGCAAAACCGTCAGAGCTTTATCAAGATGAGACTGAAGCCATTTCCTACATTACTCAAATGAGATCATTCGTTTAAGTGACTCTTCCACTTAAAATTTACTTATTTTAGTGTTACCTGAATATTGTCACTTAAGTGTATAAATAATTATTGTAGTACCAACCTTTGGGGAAGACTTAGAAATAATAAGTATGCATTCAATTTTTAAGAATCAGGTTTTTCATTTTGAAAATATTTCTCTTTTCTTTCAGGTTATGCCAAGGTCTAGAGTGGATGACCTCCCGGATCGGTGTGAGATAACTTTTTTGCTCAAAAGAGACTGCTCTATTTATTCTGTGACATGAACATTTTTTCCTAGTACCTTCGGCTGCTAAGGCAGCAGCATGTTTAATTTATAACAACACAAACCTCTATGAGCAACACTTGAATCAAGTGCAGCTGAACTGGAACATGAAATTTTTTTCTTACCTTTTTTTAATGCACTAATCTTCAGTTGGATGAACACTAACATATAACTATGTTTTTAGCAACAGAAATTTTCTGGCTGCTTATTCTAATTATTCAATGACTGCCTTGTAAGAAATGTTTGTCATATGTTTAATGTTTTCTGAACTATTGTAATAACTTTAGTGACCAATTTCTTTCATTTCTTGACCAGCCCTACCCCCACCAGCAAATTACTGGTTTGACAAAGTAATAGTGGAAATGACCGGGTACTGCTTGCAAACTTAACGAGCACTAAAGATTTGCTCCCTCTATAAACCACTTATCTTTTGGACTGAACTTACAGAGAAAGAAATCTGCCTAGAGGATATACATAAAGAAGATTAAATATCATGAGAACTGCCTTGAAATGAGTTAACTTCCCCTACATTATTGCAAGTCATGGAATAAGTGACTATTAGGATGGAAATTAAGTAGGCTATTTATCTAAAAGAATTAAGTTCACTTCTCTGCCTATAACACAGGATTAGTTTTGGTTAAAAACCAATCAAGGTAAAATATTCATTTGAAAGCCCAACTTTGATGATAAATATAAATCTATATTTTGAGGATTCTAAGGATGTCGTATTATTCAATGCATAAATAACTATTGGAAGTTATCAAAGCATACCAGCACTAATGTTAAATCCAGACACTTGGAGTATATTTTACTATCAATTATAAACAACCTTAAATCAGCATAAAGTTCAGTTATTCCATTTGCAAGGGACATCCCATCTGTCTGGGGCAATAGCTAAGACAAGAGTATAAACAGTTCATTTTATTTCCTAAAATTTGAAATTGTGTCTAATAGTATTTCTACCACCAGCAGTGTTACTTAAAAAAACATGGCTTTCCTTAAGTCTATTTGAGGTTGTAGTCTAATAGGCTTAAAACAATTGCCCTCTTGATAGCTATGCCTCATGTTCTAAAATCTCTTACTGGCGAATAGGAAACTGCTGAACTTAATGCTAGCTTTTAGAATATTACTATGAGACTCAAAGTTAACACTAACAATTTATAAATTAAAAATTAGGAAAAAAAAGTCAATCTGTCAAAAGTTTATTGGATAGCATTAAAAGTTTTCAAGGCAGTTGTCTAATATGAACAGTAATCTAGTGCATACCTTAGGAGGGAGAACAGGTATTATAATTTTAATCCTCTTTATTTCAAATATATGATTTTGTTGTAATGAAAGGAATAAGATACACACTTAGAGAATAATACTTCATCTTTGCAGTATTTTTTTACATTTGGGTCAAAAATAGGATTCAGTGTTCATAAGAATATCAAAATACCTATTCAAAAGTGGTATTTTAATTTTAATATTTTTATTGTAAGTTGGTTAAAATTTTGCATTGTTTTCAGGTATATTTGATTTATTCTATTTAGTTTAATTAATTTAGTTGAATGTGGCAACATTTTTTTTTTAATTTTTATTTAGTGTTAGCACACTCTAGAACTGAAAAATGGCCAGAGGAAAACTTTTAGGATTTGGGGAACTAGTTGTTTTATTAACTTTGTTTTGAACCTTTTTCTTAGTGATTCTATAGGATATAGAGGATACATTTTATGTTTAATAGAACCCATAGTCAAGAACATGAGAGAAAAGCAGACATAAATCAATATGGATACTCTTGGTGTGTATTTGGTGGTAAGAGTAGGAGTAATTAGAGAAATACCATTTATCCAAAGCACACTTTGCCAGAATTTCTATCTTAGTTATGTAGTTTAGCCATAAATACTGAGGATAACTCTTAATTCTGTCCTGAGAAAAAACACATTAATACTCCCATAGTCATTCTTACATTGGAATTTGTCTTCTTGTATCTTATAAGATTGACTGGCTCGATGATCTTCTATTAAATTATATGGTTATTTTTTATATTACCACATCAGCATTATATTGAAAGTGTTTTTAATAGTTGATTATATTTTGTCAAACAACTAGTATAGATTCAAATTTGTTATTTAATTGTTAAAACACTATTTTATTTTCTAAATTTCAAAAATATTTTGTTTTGGATTAGAAATGATTTATGTTAGCTGTGTGCTTGAAATTGGCATTCAACTAGATTTTGTGCCAACGATTGGGAAAAGTTCAGTTAGGAAATTCATGTGAGACTTTTAAAAAGTATTTTATAGGTTCTCATTAGATATTTCCTGTTACATTAATATGAAAACTGGTTATCCTTTACTCCAAGAGAATGTTTTGACCCACGCGTGGATCTAGTGCTAAAGCGTTGATTCTGACATTTGTTGTAAATCAACCAATATAAGATACTGTGTGATGAAAAATGTAAATTTGTGATTAGTGCCTTTATTCATATTTTGAGATGAATTCTCTGTGTTGTACTATACCTGTGCTTCGGAAGTCAAATTAATTTAACATTGATGTAATCCGAGTTTTGCCCTACCCGTCAACCCCTCAATTGCCTAACAAAGTTTCTAGTAAGTAGTGGAAAGCAAAGCACCACCCGCATTACTTTCAGGAGATTACTCTTCATTTTATTTTTAATTTGAGAAGAAAGAAACTCAATTTTATTTTCTTAATATATTATAACTAAAATGTAGCGCTACCCTTGTAAGTTCAAATATGGCATTTTTCTTAATTTTGAACATGTTATGTTCTTTATATTTAAACCCATCATTCTTACTGAAGCCCATTTGATAACTCTTTTAGAATTAACAGGCCCTTTTATATGGGAATATACTGCACATTTTATATTGTTAGTGTAATTTAATTTCTTAAAATCTGAAATAATATATATACATATATAATCTATTGAAAAATTGATGATTACATAATTTTTGTTTTTTGATCCTATATTTGTCTGCTTAAAGGTATATTTTTATTCTATATCCATTAGAGGAAAGATAATAAAATCAAGTTTCACTATTAAAAATAATTTTAAATGTATACCGCCCCTATAGCCATAGTTATTTTGATAAAGCATAAATTAACTTTATCTATAGCATGAAGAAAAAATTATTTTCCTATGGAAAACAGCGAGTGATATAGGCAGCAAATGTAAACAATATTCTCTGAAGAGTTATGGGGAGTCACAAAGCAAAGAAAATTTTAAAGAAAATAATAAAAGCTTTAATGTAAAAAATCTTTTCAATGTAGTATCTTAGGATAAATTAGAAATCGAATTGTTTCTGACTACCACTCATTTAATTCTATTATGTGGAACCTTATCAGTTGAAAAAAATGTATACTATTATTATGCCTTATATTAAAATTGAAAAACAAACAAAAAAAGATACACGTAATGGGAAATTAAATTCATTTTTATCTATTATTTGATTCCCACCTCATTATCATTTCATTTGATTCCCACCTCATTATCATTTCACCAAGAAAAGTATCAATTAGTAACTGCTACTCAACCTAAATTGAGCTAATATCTAATGACAATGGAAAGAGAAAATAAGCCATATTGCTAAGAAAATGATATTAAGGTGCTTATAAAACAGCCTGTGTTGGAAATATCTCTTCTAGAGAATTCTCTTGCTTATTTTCTGGGTTTTTACTAATTAGAAGTGGTTAGTTAGTTCAGAAGTTATTGGCTTTATTAGATGTCATCCCAGACTGCAGTTTTGTTTGACTTTCCAGCATTGAAAGGATAATGAAGCCAGAATGTCAATATTTTCCAAACGTCTGTGTAAATCTGAGTGTAGTTTATATTCAAGGTTAGTTTTTCCTTTAATTCTCATCCTTATTTATTTAGCTTTACTACAAAGACTAAAATCCAAAAATCAGATTCCCAGGAAGTATTTTTCAAGAGTTCCAGGTGGCCTAAGCTAAATAGAGAAGGCCAATAAAAAAAGTGTGTATTTTCAACCACTTCATTTTAAATTACTTAAGAAAATATATTATAGTCAACAGACCAAAAATCAGCTTTAAATGTATATGGTTTGGTAAAATATTTGGGAAATGTTAATTTGGAGACATATAGAGGCATACCTAGAAACAAAAGTCAAAATACTTGATAGTAAAGATAAACATGGGATAGAAAAATTTTCAAAAATATTAATAGAAAATTTAAATAAAAAGTGAATATCCCCCATCTGAGGCACTTAAAATAGGAAATACAGTTTTTTAGTGTAGAACTGGATGGGCCTATATTGTTTTTAATATGGTCAAAGGACTGAAGACTGATCAGGTTTTTAGAATTTGAGAGTGTAGTCACATGGAGGCATGTTTTGGATTTTTTTACCATCAGTAATCTACAGGTTCTCCTAGAAATGGAGAATTAACAAAACGTGCCATGCATATCTTTTGAATTGGAAAACAAAGTTCTAAAGGAATGGAAATGTTCTCTTGCACAAACTTGTATAATTTTAAATTAAAATTTTAATTTAAAATTTACCTCATTTTTCAATCCATAAGGTGCTTTGCTCAAGTTTGTGGGATGGTGTACCCTCCCATAAATACCCTCTTCACCCAAACTCTATTTGGAAAATGCAAAATCCATAACTAAAGGGGTAGCATTCCTTGGAGATTTTGTTATGTTTTACTCTTGTTTACCACCAGCAGGTCTAACCTAGTGTAGTAGATCCACACATTGTCTTCATTAGAGCAACGGACAAGTGCTCATTCAATTTTTAATTAGTGTAATTAATATCAAATAAGGGACAGGAAAGCCCTAAAATTACATTGATTATTTCATACTGTGAATATATTTCCGTCAGTGTTGGTAAGATATCAAATGACTGTCAGTTGATCTTGGTTGTGTATAAATTATTTGCATATTTCGGCCCTATTCACAAGAGACTATAATCATGTTCATCTTTCATTTTACCTCAGGAAATTCAGGGACTCTACAGCCCCTATTTTGTTCTCTTGGAGTAAACTGTTCAGTGTAATTATAAAAACTTTTAATTTTGATTATAAAGTTTAGCTGCTATTTCATTAAGAGTGGGAAATAAAATGTTGGTTATAATTTTTTTCCAATTATGTAATAGTTATAAATTTTACCCTATTCATCTATTGCACAGAGCATGGTTTAATAAAACAAAAACTAAAAGCAGTTACAGCCTTGCTCTTGCATTTATTCTAATTATAATATAATGAATATAATCACATGCTGCCATCTTAATGTAAATTGGTGCTTTAGAGCATTAAAGAGGAAACAGGCTCTGTATAACATACTTGCTTCCGAATGTAAAACTAAAGTGTCTGTATTTATATTTATGTTCATTTCTTAAGATTTAAATACAAACTGTTGTAGTTCTTTAACCTTCAGGCTATCTGCAAAAGCTGTAACAATATCTTAGCTAATCAGCCTGGTCAAATAGAAGACGGTGTTAATAAGGCCAAAATTATTAATTGGATCTCTGTGTGGGCCCCCTGGTTGTACAGAAGAAAAAAAAAATGTCTTTCATGCCACAGTCTATGCTTTTTAACCCCAGCCAAGCAACTGAAATGTGTGCTATTGGTACAATATATAAGCATTATTATTTTTTTAAAGCAAACAAATTACTTAATGAATTCAAATCATCGCTTTTTGAAAATGATTCAAAGCATGTTTTTCTGATGGTGGGGTTGTTTAACACGTTTTAAATATTTAATAGGTTCATTGCTGTCATAAAATGCTTCTTTTATATGCTAAGTTTAGGTTGCTGCTACTTATGATTTTTTTATTTCTGCAATTATGTTATAATGGGTTGCTTGCATGTCTACAAAGCCAAGTAAAAGGTTGATGTTTGCTCTGGAATGTTCATCTTTTAAACAGGTTTTGGCTCATTTGCAATCATGGTGCAATACAGTGTAGCATTCATTGGTTTTCAGTCAACAGTTTTATTTTTGTCATAATAAATAATTACTTTTCCAATATGATATGAACCCAGTGTTTCCTTTCAAGATCAAATCTAACAGTCTTTTTGTTGCAAGTGATAGAAACCCATGTAACCTAGCAAAGAGAGCAACATTTTATTGTGAGGGTGAGGTGGTGGGTGCTCATGGAATCCTAGGTCAGGACCCAGCTGGCTTTCTGGAATAGGCGGTGATAAGACCCAGGAAATCGGAGGAGAAACGAGGAAGTTATCACTCTCCTACCCATCTCTCTCTCTCTCAGTCTTTGGACTGGATTTTCCTATTTTCTAGTCTACGTGGAAGACACTGTCCAAACCTAATAGCTCCTACAGTTTTGTCTTTGTACAGGGAGAAGTCAGAGTATCATTAAGTTCTTAGTTCCAGTTCCGTATTTTCCAGGGAAAGTGTTTATTTGCCTGCGCTGGGTCAGTTACTCTCTCTGGTCCAAACAAATGAACCTAGCAGAAGGTACATTAACCAGGAAAGGGGAATCCCCTGGGCAGTAGGAAAGCAGTCCAAGTGGGCATAATGGGAACTGTTTGGTCTTTGTCCCCTGGTCACAAGAAAGACCATGTTATTAGAGGGTTGAAACTTTCAGCCCACCCACCAACCCCTGGAAAGGGGAAGGTGGGGGGTGGGGTGTTGCTGATTAAGTTCTATGAAAACTTGAACAATAAGATTTGATAACGTATTGGTAAACACACCCATAAGCTGGTAGAGTGGTCCCCCCACTTCCATGGGGACCCTTCTGGACTTCACCAGTGTACTTCTTCATCTGGCTGTTCTTTTGTATCCTTTATAATATTCTTTATAATAAACTCATAAATGTCAACGTTTCTCTGAGTTCTGTGAGCCACTCTACAAAATGTAATCAAACCCAAGAAGGGGATTGTGGGAACCTCCGATGTGTAGCCAGTCAGAAGCACAGATGAAGATTTTCGATTGGTACCTTAAGTGCGGAGGAGGTGCTGTTAACATGGACTGAGCCTTTCACCTGTGGAATCTGATGCTGTCTCTAAGTAGACAATGTCAGATTGAGTCCAGTTGTGGGACACCCAGTCAGCCCCCTGAGAATAAGATGGAAGATTACCTTGAACAAATACACGTGTACAAACTTACAAATTTTGTATAGAATGTTAGGAATTTTCATCCCCTCAACTTGAGCTCTGCTACACTACAGACAGAGTTCAACAGCTGAACATTCAGATTTCTTCTGATAAACACCCAAATTCAGTAAGATTTTCTCCTGCCTGTATTTTAACAGCTTTATGTAGACATAATTAACACGTTAAACTGCACATGTTTGAAGTTGTTAAAATTCAGCTGAGTAAATTTGAAGATCTAATTGACTTTATTAAGCAAATCATGAATGGGGCAGCATACTTAAAACTATCTTCCACCTCCAGAGTTTTCCCAGGGTGGGTTTAGAGCTGCAACTGATCCCCGAAGAACCCACAGGACTCCCCAGTGATGGGTTCACACATGATTGTAATTGGGAGAAATCTAACAGGGAGAAATACTTCGATCTTCCGTCCACCCCCTTTATTCCCTGGATCCTGTGGCTAGAGATTGCTCAGACCTGAGCTAATGAGGAAAAACAAAGAGCATCTAAACAATTCAGCGCTGATAAATTGTACCGAATGGTGAAATCCTTATAGCAGTAGATGTTAATGCCAATGAGTTATACCTTCAATGCCCCTCTCTGCATTTCTAGTGAGACTCCCTACGTGATATCTTCCACTAAGAAAATTTTTATTTACTTGCTTAGGGGAGAAACTGGATACCTTGCTTTTGTAGGGGGAGAAGAAATCTGAGTATATGTCCATGGCGATGAGAATAAAAAGTTCTTTGCTCCAGATTCAAGAAAAGAAGACTGTCATTTTGCTATAATCCCCACAGATAAGCACAAAACTAAAAACCATCCCGGTTAATCAGTGACAGCCCACATATGCCTCTTTGCCAGGCAGTGATGGCTAGATGCTTTGGGAAGTCAGCCAATCAATAATAGTGACCACGTGTCTTCCACTTTGGAGGAATTCAATAAGGACTCTGAAATTCTCCCAATTTCTGAATTCCACCCAAAACTTTGTATAAGATCATTTCTTGCTTTGTTCATAGAGACTAAGCGTTACAACAGTGGGGCTCCACATATAGTATCGGCATGGCCTAGGAGCTTAGTAAAAATGCAAATTCTCAGGCTCCATCCCAGACTTAGGGAAGCAGAAACTGGAGGTGAGGGCCTAGCCCCTGTTTTTCAACAAAGCCCTCAGGTGGTTCTGAGACATGCGAAAGTTTGAGAACCACTGGCTTACAAATCCGACTCTTCTTGCGTTGGAAGACATCTGTTTCAGATAATGACTGATGGCCTCTTCCTCAACAAAGCCAGACTCGTTAGTTCTGCAGGAAAGGTTGGCAGAAGGACCAAGCTCACTGTAGGCAGGGAGCTCGTGGAGGGGAGGTGGAACACATCTTCTCAGGGAGAGGGAAGAACTCTGCAAAAGGAAAACAAAGTTTCCTCACCAGGAATTCATGTAGACAACATGAACAGTAGCCATAACAATCCAAGCTTACTGGAGTCAGGAAAGAGAGGTTGGCAAGCCCCCATCTGAGAGCCTGGAAAATTAACAATGTTTAGGCTTTGAGGTGACTATCTCTAGACTAGAGGTGAGAGTGAATGAGACACAAACCCTACCCAACAGGTGGAGTGACTGGGAATACCCTGAGAGTGAGTAAAAAAAAAAAGCCTTAGTATTATTAGCAAGCAGGTATGATGGAATGCAGAATTGAACCACAGCCAGGGGTAGCCTTCCTTTTTTTTTTTTTTTTTTAATTTCAATAGATTTTCTTTAAAGAGTAGTTTTAAGTTCGTAGCAAAATTGAGTGGAAGGTACAGAGATTTCCCATGGCCCCTTGGCCCCACATAAGCACAACCTTCCCCACTATCAATATCGTGTTCCAGAGCAGTACATTTGCTACAATCAATGAACCTATATTGACTCATCATTGTCACTCAATGCCTATACTTTACATTAGGGCTCACTCTTGGTGTTGTGCATTCTATGGGTCTGGACAAATGTACTGTATAAGGACATGTATCCACCATTTTAGTATCAGAATAGTTTTACTGGCATAAAAATCTCTGTGCTGCACCTAAGTCTATGCCATTCTGTGCTAGCAGCCTGAAAGGACCAAGACAGATGGGTCTTGTTGGTCATTTGGATGTAAGAAGGAGATTCTGCGTTGGTGTCAAAATAACCTTTAGTTGTTTAGCTTGTTCAACCAGATATTTACTAAAACCAAAACCCTGCAAGGAATATTTGCTGTGGGATATCTGTACCATAGTGTTTTCATAAAAGATTAAAAAAAAATCTGTCCTCTTTTCATCCTAGCTCCACAGAAATTAATTTTTGCTTTCTCATTTATTGCCAATTAGAGGGCTACCCTGATTCTTCCCAAGAATATTTTAAGTTAATCAACTCTATATTTTAAATCATATTTAGGCTTAAAAAACTGAGCAGGAAGTATAGACAGTTCCTATATACTCCCTTTCCCCATCCCCCACAATTTCTCCTATATTTCTTGCATTAATGTGGCACATGTATTACCATTGAGCAACCAATACTGATACATTATAATTAATTAAAGTCCATAGTTTACATTAATGTTCAGTTTTTGTGTTGCACTGTTCTAGGGTTTTGGCAAATGCATAATGCCATGTCTCCACCATTCCAGTAGAAGCTGGACAAGTAAAGTCATTTTGACACCAACACAGAACACTTCTTGTATCCAATCACCAAGTCCCCCCTCTGTCATGGTCCCTTTAGGTTGGTATAACAGGATGCCATAGACTGGGTGGCCCAAACAGCAAACATTTACTCTTCAGTTCTGGAGGCTGGAAGTCCAAGATCAAGGCCCTGGCAGATTTGGCATCTGGTGAGTTCCATTTCCTACATCACAAACAGCGTCTTTTCGCTGTGCCTTCACAGGGCAGAAGGGGTTATGGAGCAATCTGGGGTCCCTTTTATAAGGGCACTAATCCCATTCATGAGGGCTCCACACTCATGAACTAATCACCTCTCAAAGGTCCCCACCTCCTAATACCATCACATGAGTTTTGTCAAGTCCCAATCATTCAGTCTATAGCACTATCTGTTTTTCCTCCTCCAGGCTTCCAGTATGTTCCCTCCTCCAGGACGGCCGAGTAGGACAGTGCTGGCAGTGTTGCTGCACGACTCCCAGAGACACTGCTAACATGGACCACCATCCGATGGGATTTCTCTATCGCATGGCACTGCTGTAGTACAAGCTGTTGTCATATATGGCCTCTTAATTGGTCTTGTGCACAGTGCATTCCTGCCTTCTTTCTCTCTGTCACTGGATCAAAGCAGTCTCTCAAAGCAAATCTGATTTGCTCATCATCTCGAAATTCTTCAAGGCTTGCTCACTGTCTGTCATGTGATCCCCTAGCCTCCCAGTGAGTAGACCCCAGGAAGCCTATGCAAACCCATCTCATACCTGTTTCTCACTGACCTTTTAGTTCCACGAGAGTATCATGCTTCCTCCCTTCTCAAGGCCTTTGCAAGTTTACGCCCCCAGGAATGTCCTTTCCTTCTGCTTTGCTTAGGTAACACTTATGCTTTGGATCTCTGTTTGAAAACAACTTCTTTAGAGAAGTCGTACCTAATCTCCTAGATCAGACCAAGCCCTACTGCCATTACACTCTTCCTCAGGCTCCTGGATTTCTATAATTTTATGTGACTCTGATTAATGTTTCATCCCCAGCAGACTGCTACCACCTAGAGAGCAGGGACTGTGCCTTTTTCATGTGGCACTCCTCCCTTAGTACCTAGCACAATACTTAGCCCATGGTAGGCATGCATTAGATAGTTGCTGAATAAATGGATAAATGAAGTGAAAAACAAATTGTGCTCAAGGGTAGGCAATGTGAGTTATAGTTGAAACACCAGTAACTGAAGTGTGACCTTGTACCTCAGTTTCTTCTACTGAGGATGAGGACACGGAAG